TGGCGCGGGGGCGTGGGGGCGTCGGGGATGGCCCAGTGACTGAGACTCGGCCCCAGGCTCCCCCTCTAGCGTGAGCCGTGGCTATTGTCGCTGTTCTACAGGGATAGCAGACACCCCCCCCCCCTATCCCGCCACTGTGGAAGGGTTCAATCCCGACAACCTCGGAAACGGCGCCCCATGAACCCCGCTGTATACCGTCGTCGTCGGGGTGCCCTAAAAAAGAGATGTGGCACGCTGCCGCCTCACGCCTCTGTGGCCACCCGCTTCCTCTCCTCGCCCCCGCGGCCCCCAGCCGTCGTCAGAGGTCACGTCACCGTCGCCAGCTGCAAGGCGTCTAGCGTCGTTGGCGGGGCGTGGCGTGCGGCTGGTGCTGCGGTGACGTGCCGGCGGGGTTGCTGTTTCCTCACCTTGGCTCCCCGTGCAGGAGAGTGACAACACCACGCCACAACTCCGCCGATCGCTTGCAGGAGGTCCTTGCTAACATGCGCGGGCGTCATCTCGGGGGCTTACTTTGTGACGGGAAAAAAGAAGCAGCACTAATCGGTAACCCCTCTCCTCAGATGCGGCGTCCCGAATGCCGATTATTGGAGTTCGGATGAATTGGGGACGTCGGCGAGGACCAGACCAGATGGTCCAGCCTGTCCAGCCCCCCTCGCCCCCCTCACCTCCCTCCTCCGACTCAATGAGTGACTGCTCGTCGGTGCGCCGCGTCCATTAGGTGCGGGTTGCCCCCTCGGGGGCTCCGGGGCTGCGCCGGGGCTCGGTGGCCTACATCGGCGGCGGTGGGGTGCCCCGCCGGCCCGACAGCCCCGCCGGCCGCGTCGGCCCCGCCGGGCAGGCCCTGCCCAGGGTGCCTAGGCAAGGTGTGAGAGTAACGCGATCAATAAGCCTCGAGGGCCGAACAGCGGGGGACGCGGGAGGGGCCGCGCGGGGGCTCCATGGGCCCGAGGGGGCTCCCGGTGGTGGTTCTCCCATTGTGGTGGGCGACAGCCAGCCAACGTGTGTGTATGTGTGCTTGCGCGCATGCGTGTGTGCGTATACGCGTGTACGCGTGCATGTGCGAGGGTGTCTGGTGCGGTGCACAATGGTGACCACACAGCTCCACGCCGCACGCCGCCTGCGGTGCGGGCAGGGACGTGGGCGGCTCGATGCCCCTGCTGTGCAGTCGGCCGTCTTGAGGGGAGGGCGGGGGGATGTCTTTTCCTTTCTGATAAGTTGACTGGAACAGGGAGTTTTGTATCAAATAATCAGGTATACTACCCTACAATTTAAAAGGGAACGGTATAAATATCACGCACCGACGAAGTACCGTTTTTCTCAGATTCAATCGGTTAGTTTTGGGAGCTTGGCGCCTGCGCGGCTAAGGGTAGGCCATCCCGCATTACGCGCATGCACTGCAGACATGAAGTTGCCTACCAACCAGGCGCCATGAGAGCTTGCATGTTGCATGAGCCGTAATTGTCAGTTTCGGACCGGAAATGTCGGTCGTACTTCTTAACTTTCTGTAGGATCCGGGAGGATCCCTTATAGTGTACCGGATGCAAGCATGCGGACGGGCTGCATACTCGCACGGGGTCACATGAGCAAACAGAAGGAACGCACGGCTGAATCCGGTGCAGTATTAAACCCCACCACCCACCCCCAAACCTATGGACGATAGACGAACCCACCCGCACGTCTGTGCACTGCGAAAGGTTGAGTTTGGCGCTTGATGAATCACGAGAGCAGGCTCGTATTGATCAGCTCAGTTCGTCTGCCGATCGGGAACTCATCCCCTGTCCCACCCCACCCTCCTAGTCATCAGCACACACAGTAAACCGAGGCGCGCGTTCCCGTTTGCGACGTTTGCCTATATTTCCGGAGTTTCCGTTCCAATTCGAGAACATCAGCATGCCCTTCCAAATTGTATTCCACTCCCTCGACTACTGACATTCTTTCTGAAGTCGCGCCGCGTGGTCCACGTCGTCGCGCGGCGAGGCCGCCGGCCGAGGGGCGAACGGCGAACAACAGTCAACATCAACAGAACTCCCAGCAGCTCGTGGAGGTCGAGCGAGGGGCTGAGGAAGGAGCTCTGGGGTAATGGAGGGGGCGGGGG